AAACGGATTCTTTCATTTTTCTGGACTGAATAATATCGTGCATTGAATAATTAAATGTAACGTGAGACGTTAATTTTCTTTGACCCATCAAATGAATGCGGTCCTTTATTAACAGAATCAAAGTTTAACATCAAACATTTACATTAATTTGGCAAATTGATTTCAACAACAACATAATTAATTAGCTTTACAGTCAGGAAAACCATACGGCCATGATTTCCCTGCTTCACAACAGACATTTCTGAAAATATCTGGAATGATTTGCTGGCAGGATAGAAGAGTTTTAAAGATGGGAAAATGAAGTTTAAATGAAGAGAAAGGATGGATGAGGGAATTTGTCTGTCATAACCAGAACAACACGCTCCTTTGGACCCAGCTTAACCAACGGTACACTTTGCGGTTGAAGATCGACTCTTTTACCTTTGCAGACGATAGTTCGGCCTCGGTGTAGAGTTGTCTTTCAACGCTTTACAGCGTCTCCGTAAGGATAGTAGGGAACCGTTCGGAGTCGTGAGATCATCCCGTCCGACACACGTTCACCCCACTGGTGGACTCACAAGAGGAGTAAGTCCGTCAGAGGCTCCACTCAGATGTGGAAGATTTCATAATTCCCACAAGACTCGGAAGAACTGCGGATCATGTCTGAACCTCCTGTTCTCTCCAGCACTTCTTCTGTTCGGTTTTGCTCTCCGAACTGAACTGTTCTCCCACCGCACTGTTCTGGTTTGAACTAGGAAGTGTCGACATTTAAAGAGTTCTGTTTCTGGTTCATTTGAGAACTTCCTGATTGGCTGAAAGCGCTAATCAGGGGTGTGTTTTGGTGACGTAAGAGGTCACTAGAAGTCAGAAAAATAGAAAGAATGTTTTGGAACAGACTGAAAATGTTTTTGAGACAGACAAGAGAAATGTTTAGGCGAGTTGGGAGAAAACAGGTGCCAGCTTCTCTATTTATGTCTGAGAGGATTTAAAAACATGACAGTTCGTTCCAACAAACTTGTCTTGCGTTTGTCTCCAACCTTGGACAAACTTACACTTGCTCATTTCAGACAGAAAATCAGAAAATGCATAATTCGTTTGTAACACATTTTAACTTGATTTCTACTTTGAATGAGGATTAAAAATTCATTAATACTGTTTCACAGTTGATTTAAAATGAGTAGTTCACTTCAACATTTAAAAATGGTTTGAACTAAATACACTTTGATTATCAAGACATTTGTAAGATAGTAATGATAATAGAAAAAGAGAGTGTTCTTTCAATTGATCAGTGCAGGACACTTAGAAAGTCTCTGGATGGACTTGATTTTGTGTTTCTGGACTCAAATCAATGAAATACAGTTCTTGTCCCAGGAAGGCCCTCAAGGTCAGGATTTGACATGAGGCTTAGTTCACTACATATGTGAATGACTTAGTGAATGTATCAGGACTCCTCAAATGTGTCCTTTTTGCAGATGACACCAAATTATCATTAAATTTAGATAAAACTAAATGCATGATATTTAGTAACAAAAAGAGAACTGTTGACGATCCATTTAAAATTGAGGGTGTTGAGATTTGTAGAGTTAATGAGATGAAATTTTTGGGTTTAATCAATGATGAACAGCTAACATGGAAAAATCACATAAATTCTGTAAGAACAAAAATAGCTAAATCTATTGCAGTACTATACAAAGCCAGGGAATTATTAAATGATAAAGCTCTGAACATGTTGTATAACACAATCATTGTTCCACATTTAATCTATTGCATTGATGTTTGGGGGAAAGCGTGTAAAACATTTACAAAACCTATTTTTATTTTATAGAAAAGAGCTATAAGAATTATCACCAGAAAGCATTACAGTCACCCATCAAGCACATTATTTTATCAACTGAAGTTATTGAAGTTCCATGATTTGGTAGATTACAGTATTTTATCAGTTATGTATAGGGCTCAAAATAACACATTACCATTAAATATCTAAAGAAATTTTGTTAAAAGACAAAGTTATTATAATCTTAAGGGGATAGAGATATTTGTCAAACCAAAATTCAGAACTAGTCTGAAGGGAAGGTCTACCTCAATCCAAGGAGTTGGATTGTGGAATGGTCTAGAGAGTGATGTTAAAAATGCCAAATCAATGTGTACATTTAAGAAAAAGATCAAAGCTGAATTGTTAAAAAAAAAATATATGAAGTAACTTAGTGTGTGTTTTGTATTAGAATTAGAAAAATTAGAAAGAGTTATTCATTTTGTTCTGTTACTTGAAAATTATTATGATTGAAATATTTTTTTGAAAAAAGGGGCAGATATAATAAGATTTTTTTCTTCTTTCTGCTGCCTTTCATTTTAAATCTTTTGTATCTTTTTTTTATACTTTTATGGAATTGTTTTGTACTTTTTTAAAATGTATAAACTTTATACCATACCAATTATTAAAAATAGCAGTTAGTCATTTTAATTCAGTTATTGTTTCAGTCAGAGTCAAAACTAATTATTTTATATGAACAGTTTCCATTAAACCCAGTGTGATCCTGGAACCCAGCTGGTCTCAGACCTTCAGTGGTGAGACAGTCACTCTCAGATGTCAGATCCATGGAGGAGGAACTCAGTGGATGTATGAATGGATTCCACCCAACAGAAACTCTCAAACATCCAGTGAATACAGGATCAACAGAGTTACTGAGTCTGACTGTGGAGAATACAGATGTTGTGGTAGAAGTGGCTATCATCAGACAGACTGGAGTGATGACTTCATACTCTCAGTGTTACTTGAGTCAAGTTGTTATTCAGTCATAAACAGCACTCAAGAGTAAAATGTCAAAGTAAAGTAAAAAGAACACAAACTTTTAGTTAATTTACATTATTTCTTTGTTCTTGGAAAAAACATTCAATGAAAAATTAGTTTGGTCAAAAGTTTTATTGTCGTGTTACAATCAAATTGATGAAACATCAGAAAGATGTCTTAAACATAAAATAAGTTTTGTTAAAAGATCAGAAAAAAATTGTTTTATAAGCTAGATGTCAAAGACAAATCTCCATTTCTAAAAAAGTTAAATCTGGTCCTCTGTTAATTTACATTATTTCTTTGTTCTTGGAAAAAACATTCAATGAAA